TAGTTCATAGAAACTCCCGGCCTGCCACTCAATCCAAAAGGCATCACCAAGTATTCAAACTGCCCTAGCGGCGTGTTAAACGCTGTCTTGTATTCATCCCCCTCCCGGATGCGCACCCTGAAATATGCATCGCATAGGTCCAGCTTGGTGAAAACTCGCCCCGTCGCTGAGCAAGTCTCGGTGAGCAAGTCTTTGATCAGGGGGAGGGGGTAGGCATTCGACATGGAGACAGCATTCAGCCACCGGAAATCGGTGCACAATCTCAAACCCCCGTCCTTTTTCTTCCTGAATAAAACAGGGGCGGCGAACAACGACTTAGCCGGGCGGATGAAACCTCGTTCTAGGTTTTTATCTATGAATCTCCTTAGTTCCTCTCACTCTGAGGGGTTCATAGAGTACAGTTTCCCCTTTGGCATCTTATGCCCTGGGAGGATTTCTATAGTACAGTCAGTATTCCCATGGGGAGGTAATTCATTCGTTTTTTTCTCTTCAAAGACTTTCCTTAAATCACGATACTCGGGGGGAATGGCTTTCAGCTCCTCTCGCGCCAAACACACTTGCTCCAGCACCGGGTTTGGCTCTGCCCCCCATTTCAGGGCCCACTGATGTGCCTTGCACCGGGGGTCCAGGAAAGTCAAACAGTCCTTACTCCACTGTATGTAGGGATCATGTGCCCCTAACCAGGGTTTCCACAGCACCATCGGGAACTGAGCCGTGGGATGCACTATGAAGCTTCATAGTTCCCATTGTCCCCCCACCCCAGTGGGCAGTTTTACAGTCTAATATTGGCATGACTGCATCGTGGTGCCATCCATCTGGGAAAACACTACTGGCTCACAATTTTACAACTGCGGCCCCGAGTCCAGTTACTAACGAGGGGCTGATGAGGTCACGTGAGCACCCGGAGTCTATGAGGGCATGCACTCGGATGGAAGTGCTCACATCGGTATTCAATACAGTCACAGCAAAAAACAGGGAAGACCCATTTCTCACCAAATCCTGCGCCGGTGTCTGGGGGACCTGCTGGTTGCCGCTCTTCACAGCAGGTCTCTCTGTCGTTTCCCGCTGCCATTGGCTCGTCTCCCTCGCTGGATGAGGAGGTGCTAGAGGACAAAATTTCCGCTGCTTGCAATGCACGAGGCAGCTGCTTCTGCTTCCCGTGCCCTTTCTCCTTCTTGTCTCATCCCTTTCTTTCTTGCCATTCACCTCGGGGGCTTGCTCCATCGCTTCTATTCCTGCCCGGTCCCTCACATTTTAGGCAGAGCCCTTTCTTCAGTCGGTGCTCCCGGTCACCTCCCTTGGGGTTCCCCAGGTTTCACCCCTCCGTTCCGCTCTGTGCGGCGGCCCCTTGATTTGAGGGTTTTTGATTGTACAACTTCACCAAGTTCAACTGGTTCTTGGCTTCGCACGCTACCTGGATCCACCCGGCTAACGTGAAGAAGTTTGTATAGAAAAAGTCTTTTCTAAAATCCTTCCTGCCTGGGCCAGATGGCCTTAGCTGGTAACACTCCCATGTGATTTCTGTCACCTGTGCAGATGGCCTGCCAGATGGCCAGGCTGCATAGCCATAAACAAGACATTTTAACACCTTCGCCAGGATAGAGCGACATGCAGGCGCCTTCCCAAGCCTGGGAAGAGCTATGCTCAGTACATTAGCACATCAAATGCCAGTAGCTCACAAAATAGAATTTTTGCTCACAATACTCCACCGCTTAGAGGGAACATTGCTCCCATGTGATTTCTGTCACCTGTGCAGATGGCCTGCCAGATGGCCAGGCTGCATAGCCATAAACAAGACATTTTAACACCTTCGCCAGGATAGAGCGACATGCAGGCGCCTTCCCAAGCCTGGGAAGAGCTATGCTCAGTACATTAGCACATCAAAAGCATTCCCTGACATGACACATGGTCACTGGAAGAGGCTGGAGTAGGATGCCCAACTCCTAGCCAATCAAAACATACCTTTCCTGACAACGCATGGTAACCAGAGATTGGACACGCCTCCCCACTCTCTCACTATTGGGTAAATGGCCATACCTGGTGGTGACGGAAGGGGGGTATAACTGCAATAATCCCTATGGGAAAAAAGAGGAGTTCCTCTCTGGAGACAAAGAGTTCTTTTTTTTTCTTTCGGTAAACAAAGTTTTATTATTTTCCAGTCATAGGTATTCCACATTTATCCATTAAAACTTTTCTTTCAAGCATACATAAACAATTACTTACCCTATAACCCATACTCCATCCCCCCTCCTGTGGCTTCCCGCAATGCTTTCACCCCCTTCCCCTTACTTATATATATTTCATCAGTTACTAATATCATATTTCTAATCTCATTAAAAACATAAACAATTACTTACCCTATAACCCATACTCCATCCCCCCTCCTGTGGCTTCCCGCAATGCTTTCACCCCCTTCCCCTTACTTATATATATTTCATCAGTTGCTAATATCATATTTCTAATCATTTTAAAAGATAACATCTTTTTTGTCACATCCCAGTTCTTTTCCAGATAGTTCTTAAAGTCCTTCCATTCTTCAAAAAATTCTTCGTCTTCTTTGTTGTTCAATTTCTTAGTAATTTTATCCATTTCTGCCATGAACAGAACTTTATGTATCCAGTCTTCAATTTCTGGTACTTTTTCAAGTTTCCAATATTGCGCATATAGCATTCTTGCTGTCGTTATTAGGTACCAGAATAAAGTTCTTTTTTCCGCATTAACTTCTTCCATTTTTAGTCCCAAAAGCAGAATTTCCGGTTCTTTTTTAAAGGAGCATTGTAGTATCTTCTGCATTTCACTATGGACAAAGAGTTCTTTCGGATTGGCTGCTTGTTTATACCATGGGGTTCCTTTTCAAGATTCCCTGGTGAGACCTTGGTAACTATGGAATACCTCTATTGTGTAGTTAGAGCTGAACAAGCTATAGATACAATTTGTTTTCTTATATTTTGCTAGTCTCATGTTATATGCATGCTTGTGCACTGAATAAAGGTAATATATAATCAATATTAACTGGACTTGTTTCCTCTGTTGCAACCTGATTTCTAAGACTGAATCTTGTGTCTAAGCCGTTCGCCTAAGGAGGCTACCACTGTGTCAATTAATTGTTCGCAGCCCTGGTACAGAGCTGGTAAAGTTGGTACATCCTATAAATCAAGGAAGAGTTTAGGATCTCTGCTCCTGATCTTTGGTGGGAACCTTTTAAAAAGAGATCCTGGTGGCAGACTACTGGTAAAGCCTGGAGAGTGTACAGACATTATCCTGGGGTTTGTTTAACTGTTGTTGAATGCTTGGTTTCTCTCCCATCCCTGGACTGGGGAGAGAGAGAAAACTTTGACAGGGTTGTCTTGTGCCAACACCTTCTCCAGAATGACCACATTCAGTCCCGCTCTGTAGAACTCGATGAGGACTTCTTCCAGCCAGCCCAACAACTTTGCGGCTGTTGTTTTAAACTCATCTGAATACTCTTGCACCGACCTGGTCCCTTGGCGAATTCCCCGCAAACGGGTGCAGGCCTTCTCGTGTTTTAGTGGATCTTCGAACTGGCGGCGGAAGGCCTGCATGAGCGCATCCACATCTCTCAACTCTGGGGTGGCCACGTTGTACAGCCCCACAAACCAGTCGGCCGCTCCATCCCGGAGTCTGGATCCTACATAATCCACTCGTCCTGAAATGTTGAGGAGTTACTTTTAGAGTATTAGAGTACTATAGTACTTAACAGCCCCTGACACTTTGTGGTTGGCTCTGCCTCCTGGACCAGCCATTTTGTGGTTTCACCCACCATCTTGTGTCAGAATTCCAAAGGTGCCTTCAGGCTCAAAAAGTTAGTATAGTGGACCCCTTCTGTCCTTCCTGTTCTTGTTTTTCATGCTGCTGCTTTTAAATCCTATTTTCAATCCTCTCTTTCTGTTTTTGTTTAAAAGATTTAACCTTTGTATTTCCTGTGCTGTGGTCCACCATGTTAATTTTTAGGGATGAAGAAGCCAATCAGTATTTTAAATAATGATGACAAATAGTTGTTGAGGCCCTAAATTTGCCCCACCCCAACAGAAGGCCAAAATCACATGCACATGTTCTCTGAAGCACTGGAAAATAGTGAAGTGATTTCCAGTCATGCAGTCTAAGAGTATATTTACAACTGCCTTTCTATCTGCATGCACCCAGCACGGAGGCAGAGGCTAAAAAGCACCTCATGTTCAGTTGGTCTGAGCTGGAGGGCATGAAAATATCAAGTGGATACTGTGGAGGCCGTGATATAAAGAGGGGCTTGTGCCTTTATCAGCTGTGGAACGACCCTGATGAGATTCAAAGCTGATCTTGCCCTACTGGGTTTTTTGGGAGGTCTCTTTTGGGAGGCCTGAGCTCACTCACTCTGTGTTGCTCCTGTTGATTTTAATATATTTTGAAGGTGGTGTTCCCAATTGTTAGGAGAGTGTCGTTTTGGACCCTTGTATCGCTGACTGGAGGTCCACCTACCTTGGTAGGCATCCCTGTATGTAAATTAGGTGCAATGCAACTCTTTTGTTATCAATGGCCGACTAGTATCTGGCTTTGGAATACTCTAGCACAGGTTCTCCAATGTAGTGCCTGCCAGTACTTTCCTTGGCACCTACCAAGCTTTTCAGAAAGGGCTTCTAAGGGAGGGCTTGTTATTGTTTCCCTCGTTCAGATGAAATCATTTTCCACTAGAAGATGAGGGTGACTGGTCAGCAACTGGTTTTTTAGAGTGTGGTTCCATCACCCCTTCAGGATTTCCTTCTTTCCAGGAGGTGTGAGGAGGGTGGTATTCTGTTTGGTTCTACCTTCTGAGGCAGCCGCTTTGGGTTTGGCTCCACTTCCTGTGGGAGCCATTTTGGGGAGGCAGTCACTACCTCCTCTCAAAATCCCAAAGGTGCCTACCGCCTCAAAAAGATTGGGGATCCCTGCTCTAGCAGCATACACAGAGAAGCCTTCTCACAAAGAAGAACATCCAGTCCTAATGTTTGTGAATTCTCTTGCAGTGTTCAGACTCGGCAACATGGTGCATGCCATCGTGGTCGCCCGACAGTCCAACCAGTTGCCGGAGCTGGTCCCCCGCTTCTGCCTGACCGTCTCCAACCTGAACAAGGCCCTGTACTTTGTCTGTGACATGCTCCTATGGGTGAGGAGTGTGGGGCTCTTTCCAAACATTGACAAGAAGAAATGGCGCAAGCGGGCCAACAAATGCTATTACTACTCCCTGGTGATGAACCTGGCTGAGAATTTGTATGAGCTCTGCTGCTGCATGGAGCAGACAGCGCAGACGGAGAAGGCTCAGAAGGACTTGCCTCCTTGTGGCCAGCGAGTCCGGAGTTTTGTTTCCCATCTCACAGGGGGGCTGCAGCCTTTTCTTCTCCTCCTTTGCCTCACCTTGAGGAGGCATCCTCCACTCTTGCTTGACACGCTGAAGAACCTTTGCGATCTCTCAAGCCCACTGGATCGGCTGGGAATCTACAAGACCAACCCAGGAGTCATCGGGCTTTGTGGTATTATCTCCTCGCTGGTCGGAATCCTGACAGTTGCCAGTCCGAGCCTGAGGCTGAAACACTGACTTGGGAGTTTCCCTGATAGTTTATGGGTGTTTTTGTTCATCTCCAGTTTGGCTCTTTGTATATAAAACAATGGAGCTTGTTCTCTGAAGCTAGCTGGCTGTGCTTTTCTCCTTGTTTCCTTGTGGCTTTATGAAGCAGCACCCTTGTGGAGAGAGAAGAAGTCATTTATGACTTGTAAAAAGATTAAGCAAAACCTTATTTGAACTATGCAACAGAGAGAGCAAATAGGTATTGAACTTGCTCCTAGTCCAGATTGTGTATAACACCATAGGAGACAGTGGTGTTGGGGAGGTGGTAGTTGGTGGTGATCATAAAAATGAACCACTGCACAGGTCTTTTATTCTCCTCCCCCCTTTTGCAACAGGGGCTCTAGGGTTTTTGTTTTGGTATTGTTTCAAAACCTGCATTGCTTTTTTGACCAGAGGCAATAATGAAACAAACAACCTGGCAGGCTAGCCTGATCTTATCAGATCTCGAAAGCTAGGCAGGATCGGCCCTAGTTTGTTCTTGGATGGGAGACTAACATGGAAGTCCGGGGTTGCTCTGCAGAGGCAGGTAGTGGTGAACCACCTCTGGAATGCCTCTTGCCTTGAAAACCCTATAGGTTGTTCCCCTTGGTGGGGAAGGCAGGGTATAAATCAAATAAATAAGTCAGCTGTGACTTTACAGCAAAACAAAAACCATGGAGGAAAGTAAAGCTCCTGTCCAACCACTTCCAGTTTTATTAAAAGCTATTGTCCATCTCCTGCCAGCTTTTGACTCACTGTTGCCTCTGATCAAATAGAATCATAGAATGTTAGAGTTGGAATGGACCTTGCAGGTCAACTAGTCCAACCCCCTGCACTCTGCAGGAACATAGCTGAAAGATAGCCCTACAACATACCTCCACTTGTCGTCCAGCCTCCGCTTGAAAACGTCCAGCAAAGGAGCATCCACCACCTCCTGAGGCAGTCTGTTCCACTGCTCAACCACTCTTACAGTTAGGTTCTCCTGATATTTAGCTGGTAACGGCTCCCTTGTAATTTCCACCCACTAGATCTAGTCTTGCAATCCAGAGCAAGAGAGAATAAATCCGCTCCATCTTCTACATGACAGTCCATCAAATATTTGAAGACTGCAATCATGTCCCCTCTAAGCCTTCTCTTTCCCAGGCTAAACATACCCAACTCTTTCAGCCTTTCCTCATAAGATTTGGATTCCTCCAACCCTCTCACCATCCTGGTTGCCCTCTTCTGGACACGCTCATGCTTGTCAACACAATGTGGTGCCCAAAACTGGACACAGTACTCCAGGTGGGGCCTGACCATAGCAGAAGAGAGCGGAACTACCACCTCCCGTGATCTGGACACAATGCTTCTGTTAATGCATCCTAAGATTGGGTCAAAACCCAGTCAGCCACTCAGAAGCTTTATGGGCTGCAGTGTTTGAAATGCAGGAGCTGGGATAAGCTGTGCCTCACCTGGACAAAATTCTGTCTGTGTTATGCTCCTGTGTCTTATATTAATGCCAAAGCCATCTACAGTGCCCTCTGTATATCTTCCTAGTCAGTATCAGTCTGTGCAACTGACCTGTTGGATGATCAGTCCATCTCAGGTCCAGTCTTACCCACAGCAAGCTAAAGCAGAAGGAGATATGGAGTGATACCATTAAAAATCCATCAGTAATTGCCAGTTATTAAGTTGATTTTGTGTTGGGGGGGCAGTTCTCATGGGATTTGGCTTTTCTTCCTAAGTATCAAAATCTCTTAGACTCTATCAGGTCTTCCTGTATAAGTGCAGAGCACAAGAATCATAAGCTTGTCTTCCTGATTCCTCGTTCTCTCTTTCTAAGGAAGGGCTCCAAAAATGTGGGCACATAGTAGGATGCCATCCTATCAGTTTTATAGTAGATGTATTAGTTTTTACTTTACATTTTTTAAAAGGGGTACTTTTTTAAAAAAGAAAAGAAAGGAATGCATCCTTTATGTGAAGTTGCCCTACACTGTCCAGCATCATATTCTTTTATCTGACTGGTAGTGGGTGTCTAAGGACTCAGAGAAGCATGAAGATTGGACTTTTTCCATGCAAAATATGTGCTCCACTGCTGAGCTATGGGCCATAGAATCTGTTTAAAGCTGTCTTGTATTGGTAGATCCTGGAGTAAAGAGTTCCTCTAGCAAGTACTGAGATGGTGGGGTAGTGACCAGTATTGCTTTTGCACCACATTCCAGATTATTGCTTAAGCAAGTAGGTCCCCTGTTACCTGGAGTTTTTTGCCCCTTGGGAATGAAGTTTTTATCAGACTATCAGAATAGTCTTTAAATTCTTCAACAGTGGCTCTGGAAGCATATTTAAAGGAGGTTGGAAGTAAATTTTCTGGATGGAATATTCAGCTTGGACATGGAGTCTAGCCCAACTCAGATGTTGACCCAGACCTAAAGCAAATTGCTGATCTTCATCCTCATCAATAAAGTAGGAACAACTCGATGATTGTGTCTGTTAGATGTGTTTTGGGCTGTGGTGGCTCAAGTGGTTAAGATGCTGAACTGCCAACCGGAAGGTCGGTAGTTCAGCAGTTCGAGACCCGAGTGCCACATGACGGAGTGAGCTCCCACCTCTGGCCCCAGCTCCTGCCAACTTAGCAGTTCGAAAGCAAGAAATTGCAAGTAGATAAATAGGTACCACTTTGGTGGGAAGGTAACAGCGTTCCATGTGCCTTGGTGTTTAGTCATGCCGGCCACATGACCACGGAAACATCTTCGGACAGCGCTGGCTCTTCGGCTTGGAAACGGAGATGAGCACCGCAACCCTAGAGTCTGATTCGACTGGCTTTCAAGCAAAGGGAACCTTTACCTTTACCTAGATGTGTTTTGCAAACTTTATTCTTTAATTACTTCAGGCTTTGTGCTGCTTTGGGCATACAGATGTAAATGAAAATGTGACTTCACTCCCATGTTATGAAGACAAAAATCAGACATGGGTTTACAGAAAACAATTGGATAATGTGTTTAATGTGTAATTGGGAGCTAAGGTTCTAATCTTAGACATGTTTCCCACTAGGAAATCACAGTATGTTCAGTGGGGCTAGTGTCAGGTAAATTGGCACAGGATTGCACTTTTCATAGGTAAGGAAGGAGCCCCTAAATGATCAAGGGCTGTGTGATCCCTTGTTGCCATACTAGAGGAACTGCAGGTGTAAAAAAGCTAAGGATACTTTGCTCTCTGGAGGGGCAGGAAAGAAGTGTGCAACATGGTGACTCTTCAACTGCCTTGCTGGCAACCTTTTGTGGTAGAGTTCAATGACCTCTCTCTTGATGCCAAACTATATTCCCCACTCCCACATGTTGATACTGTGAACTAAACCCCATATGATAGTGGGGGTCCATGTTTGGATTCCAAATTAGCTATAAAAAGCAGCTGTTTGAAAGTCGGGGGGGGGAGAAAGATGGGAAGGCAAAAAGCCCTTTTTAGGGTGCCTGGATTGTGCCTAAAAGATGCCTCAGGTCATAGGCATAGACTACGCAGGGGCTGGGGGGCTGATGCCTTCCCTGAAATTTTCCAGGGAATACCGAGCCTCCCCTGGGGGCAACCAGTGCCAGCCAGAGCCTTTTCTGGGTGGCCTCCTGTGCATCCCGGCTGCTCTTGTGCCTAAGGAGGCGGCTGCTGCTGCTGAGGTACCGGGTGCGCGGGTGGTAGTGGCGGCGGCTTCCCCAGGGCCCGCAGGGGGAAGGGGTGGTCATGCCCCCCTTCCTCGGACAAGGGCCGGCACCCTCTCGTACAGAGCCAGAGGGAGCGACTTGCAAGGCCTCCTGGGTGCACTGCCGCTGGGTCACAGCCAGGGCACAAAGAGGCTGCTCGGCTCTCTTCGTTGCTCCCCTGCCCTGGCTTCGTTGCTCCCCTGCCCCCCTTTTCCTCCGGAGGAGATGTGGAGAGAGACTGCGCTGGATGCGCTGCTCTCCCTCCGGTGCGCGGTGGCCCCTTCCCCCGGGGATTCACACTGACAGCCACTGTGTTCTGTAGGATCTGAGCCGCAGGGCCTTCTCTGGGCAGCGCCCTCCAGCGATATGTGGTCCCTTCCAGCCCACAGCTGCTTCGCTGAGATGGGATGAAGGCATCCACACATGGCATTAGAGTGTCAAGAGGGGACTGCTTTCTTTCCATCTCTTCCCTCTCTCCCTCTCCTTTCATTCTTGTCTCTCCATCTATTTGCTTTCCCTCCCTCCCTCCCTTCCCCATCTATTTGCTTTCTTTCCATTTCTCTCCTTTCTTCCTTCCTCCCTATCTGTTTGCTGTTTCTCTTTCTTTCTTTCTTTCTTTCTTTCTTTCTTTCTTTCTTTCTTTCTTTCTTGTCTCCCCATCTATTTGCTTTCTTTTCCTCCCTCTTCCTTCCTTCCTTCCTTCCTTCCCCATCTATTTGCTTTCTTTCCGTTTCTCCTTCCTTCCTCCTCATCTATTGCTAGGGGGTTCCCAGGCCCCCCTAAATTTCTGGGGTTGTTGTTCAGTCGCACAGTCAAGTCCGACTCTTCGTGACCCCATGGACCAGATCACACCAGGCCTTCCGGTCTTCCGCCGTCCCCCGAAGTTTGCTCAATTTCAATTTCTGGGGAGCCCCTCCCTAAATCCCACATGGCTCCACCTCCATAGATAGTGACAATTGCCTGGATGTCACTGGCTCCTCCCTATGATGTCACTGGGCCTCAGTTCTTTTAAGGACCTAGCATAGTAATGCCTCTGGCCCAGCCCCCCAAATTGGAAAGTCTACACTGTTGCCTCAGGTGGCATGTCTAACTGGGAAGCATTGTAGGAGGTGAAGAGTTCTCCCACCACTGCCAAATCCCTGATCACAAACTGTGTCACCCACTGCCTGCTTTGAATGACACACATGAATACATATATCCTGAATCAGACCCTTGATCCATTAAGATCAGTATGTCAGACTGGCAGAGGCTTTCCAGGGCCTCAGACAGAGGTTTTCCTATTGCTTACTGTCTAGTCCTTTTAACTGGAGATGCCCTGGATTGAACCTGGGACCTTCTGCATGCCAAGCTTTACTGCTTAACCAAGGCCTCCCTCGATTGTGACTGAGGATCCAAACACAGTGCCAGTGCTGCCATTGGGTTGACATGGTGGTGCAGGAGGAGAGGTAACTAGAGTCATGAACAAACTGAGATGAAACCTAATGGAAACAATGAAATGGCAAAAGGTTATCTGGGGCTCTGCCTACAAGGGGCAGCCAGCAGAGTTATTGCAATATTTCTATCCCTTTCTGCCTGATGCTGGTCTGCAACTGGTGGTGCTATATAACCCCTGTTCCTTCTTGGACACGGAGTGTTTGTATTGTGGCTGAAGGCTATTATTTTTTTTTTAGTGTTAAGTGCAGCCAGTGCCAAGAGCCAGTTTGTTGCTAAGTATCCAGGCAGCTGTTTTGGGGCTTCGGCTGCCCTTTCGACTTTGTCTGGAGAAAGGAATGACTCATTCCAAGGCTTGACAAAATACACTTTCACCAGGCTTACAGCTGTGTTGCTTTTTCACCTACATTTGTGTAAGTAATCG